ACGCGGAATTGCAGCAGCATGCATCGACGGCGCACGTGCGCAGAGAGTGCCGCGGTCTGCTCGCACGGCAGCTTCCAGCCCGTGCAGCTGCGAGCGCGCGAGGCTCCGCCGGCTGTGGGGCGATGACGACACAGGCGGCTCGGCGAGGGAAGCCTGCCGGCAAGCAAACGGGACACGTCGGAGCTCGAGCCACGCGGCCTGGGGGCGCAAAGTCCCTCCCCGTGGCTTTTCGCGGCCCCCTCGCGGAGGATCGCCGGAGAGCAGAGTCGGTCGTGCGTGGCCAGGCGGGCACTCGCAGTCAGTCCTATGCCACCTGCCCACCATCGCTCAGGAGGATCTTGATCTTGAACCGCTCAACGTGCCACGCCGATCCCTCCAAGATACGAGCATCACCATGGAGGGAGAGAGGGTAAGGGAGAGGAAGGAGGTGCGCGAGTCACCTCCTGGTAAGACGGCTCGCGCGGCTCTGGTGCCAGCTCGTCCTCCAACTCTTGTTTCTCCCCTACTCATTTTCCTCCTTTTTATCCTCCTCCTCCTCCTCCTCCTCCTCCTCCTCCTCCTCCTCCTCATCCTTCCCCCCTACTCCTCAGTGTCGTCCTTCCTCCTCCTCCTCCTCCTCATCCTCCTCCTCCTCCTCCTCCTCCTCCTCCTCCTCCTTCACCTCCACATCCTCCTCCTCCTCCTCCTCCTCCTCCTCCTCCTCCTCCTCCTCCTCCTCCTCCTCCTCCTCCTCCTCCTCCTCTTTCTCATCATCACCATCATCACCACCATCATCATCATCATCATCATCATCATCATCATCATCATCATCATCATCATCATCATCATCATTTTCAACACCATCATCATCATAATCATCATCAGCATCATCAGCAGCATCAGCAGCATCATCATCCTCATCATCACCATCATCATCCTCATCGTCGTCATCATCATCAGCATCATCAGCATCGTCATCATCATTATATCATCATCATCATCAGCATCAGCATCATCATCTGTATCGTCTGGGTCATCCCCTTTTTACATCATCCACTTCCACCACCTTGTAATGTTCTATCTCACTGAATTGTCACCACAGTCCTCCATGCATTCTGTCCGCCACATCCAACTCCTCCGTTCCATCATCGTCATCTCTCCGCCAATTCCATTCTCCTCCGCCTAATCATCGCTTCGATCCCCGATCGATGAATATCCCCCTCTCCTCCTCCTTGTCCTCCTCCCCCTCCTCATCCTCATCCTCCTGGACAACGCTCCCCTTCTTTCCCCAAGTTTTCGATGTGATGTTCCAGCTGTTCATCCTTGTTCCCCTTCGTCACAATGTTCCAACACCCTCATCCTCATCATTATCATCATCAGCAGCAGCATCATCATCAACATCATCATCAACATCATCAGCATCGGGTCCTTCGAACCAAATTCTCGATGTGTACACTCCCACGCCCCTACCAGGCAGCCCGATAGCGATTACACATGAGACGTTGCAAAGAAGAACCGCCCAAAAACAACACAACGGCGACGTGCTTTCTCTCAACATGGACTTGCTGCCGTCGAGGTTGCAAACTGACTGGCGGGAGTGGGAAGCGGCGCACACCGAGCGCGATCGACCACAACGCTGCTGTCGCCAAATTGTCACGCATACTTTGTCTGAGTGTTGCGTTCCCGCCCACGCGCGGCGCACCATTTCTCCATCGACAATTCTCGGCACTAGGGTCGCGCGCACCACCAAAATCTTGCTTGCCACCATAGCGCCGCGCAGATGTTGTCTGACCGTTGCGTTCCCGCCCGGGCGCGGCGCAGGCCCTCCACTTGCTGAGTCGGTGGAAGTCGGGCCGCGCCCGAGAGAGCGCGACGCTGCCTTCGCCCAGGCCTTGCGCAGAGTTCGTGGAAACACTGCGTTCTCGCACCGACGCGGCGCACGCTGCCTTCGCCGCCCCCGCATCTCAAGCTTGGCTGCGCGCGAGAGGGCTGTATTGTGCTGTCGCCGAAACGCTGAGACAAGATGTTATAATCAGTTCCGTTCCCGACTGTACGCGGCGCAAATTCTTCGCGAGTCAAGTTGTTGGTAGCGAGACCGCGCTTGCATTAGCGACTTCCGTTCGCCAGTTCCGAGCGTGCTGCAGTCCTACGTATCGATTTACACCAAGATTGAATATCAGAGTATGCTATACGGGGGAGGGTGGGAATGGGCGAGGACAACTACCTCAATCGCGTTGGATAGTTGGGTTCCTACTGCTCCTCTTGCTCATCATGCCCCTCTCCTCTCGCGTAGCCGAGGCGCGCCGGGAGGTCTGGCCTCCATGCTCAACTAGGGGCCGCGGAACTCGCACTAGACCGCTCGACCTGATATCGAAAGGTCGGAAGGACCGCCTTCGCACGAGTCACTGTCGACAAAGGAATAGCACGCAATGCATTATAGAGATAACGAACAAAGACGGGAGCTTGAAAGGCCTCTCTGGATGGGCTGTACAGACCAAGCCTACCAATGGGATACATATCCACGCTGCGCCCTATACCTTCTTTCCAAGAGCCAGAAAAACAGTGTCACAAAACGTCGGAGTCCATGGGATGCCCGAGGACGCAGCAAGCCGAGCCCTGGAAACGGCGCGCGGCGCACCAACAACCCCCGAGAGTCTCGAGGACGGCCGATCCCCGAGAGGGGGGGGGGCCAATCACTGCACGAACTTTTGCCCAGTCAATACGGCGCATCGCGCCACGATACGATAACGAGGTCGACCCTGGAGCACTCGACGTTTGAACGCAAGGTGCAAGCGGTCAGGACACAGGACCCCAATCTTCTGAGCGCAGATTCGCTGCGGCTTTAAGTCCCTCAGAGGTCTGAGAGGCCGGGCATCTAGGGCACCTCTGAGGGCTCGGAGCGTAGCAGCACCAGCAGGGGCCAGGAAGGGGTCGGACAGGAAGCCCATAGAGTCCTCGAGAAAAGTGAAAGTGCACGGCGGGCTCAGCCAACGCTCTGGCGAAGGGGTCTTGCGGATCGAGCGCGCCAGCGGTCATTCAAGCTCGGCGACGGCACGCAGACGATCAACTCCTGCTTGCCACGCCTTAAAAGCGCATGGCAAAGGACGAGCAAGAACGGCGCGACACGCGGCGTAGATACCGCCCTCCTTCGGGCCGCCCCACAGGAACCGATTGTGCCAATCAGCATTGGATATCGCCCTATACTGGACACTGAAGAGCCTCGGGAAGATTCAATATTCATCATGTCTGACACGCCGAGGAGGCACATACTGACTGCGCCACGCACGACAAGACAAAGGGCGCGCGGGACCTGGGCACCGATCGCACGCGAGCGCTGGGCGCATTCAGCCACGGGTTTGGTCCGGAGGCCCTCGGAGGTTACAGCAGGGACCAATAGCTTGCCTTAGTGGCCAAGCGTGTCAGAGATGGCGAAATCTCCCCAAGCAGGGACCCCCTCAGGAATCCAAGCTTTCCTGCAGAACTTGAAGTAATCAGTCAATGGGGCGCCCGCGGGAACGATCGCGCACTCGCTGCTCTCGACGCGCAGGCCGGCCACGCGCTCGGCTTCCTCGAAGACCCGAGACGCGTGCACCAGGAAGAGCATCCGACGCAGGGCCATGTCCAAATCGTCAGCACACGCACGAGAGATGCCGCGGTCGGGCCAGTCGCTCACCGCACCGACCCGCTGGAAGAAGGGGCCCGCGGAGAACGGAAACAGAAGCTCCGGCGCAGGGCACGCCCGGATTATACCGGTCGCGACACTGAGTAGGATACGCAGGCGGCTCCCCCTTTTCCCCCGACACGCAACGCACCCGCACAGCAAGGCGAAAAAAGTCCTCCAGCGCATGAAAGATCGGCAGAAAGGCGATCGCCACGGCCGCCCACGGTCGGCCGACCGACCGGAACGCCTGACCAAAATCAAGAGCCCACGAGGATCGGGGCCATCGTGGCGTCGCTCACACTGTAGATCCAGGCCTGGACATCAAGGTCGACAACGTTGCCCCAAAAGTCCCCCCCCGCCACGAAGCTCCGCCGGATCCCGTCGAGCCCCAAGGAGAGCCACGCAACTAAAGGCATTGCAGCAGGCGGCAGTAACCAGCTCGTTACACGCGCTTTTTAGGCACGGGGGTCTCGCTTTCGCAGCACGCCGTAGAGCACCGTCCCCGCCGTCGTCTGCCGAACCTTTAGGGGGGCAAAGAGTCCAAGCGCGCAGTTGAAGTCCCCGCCTAACGAGAAACCCTCAAGCATCCACATCATGGCGCCATAAAAACACGCTAATGCCCTGGGGGAGAATTTCCACGCCCCGCAAGGCAAATAACCGGGCCCAGGAGCCGACGGCCGCACGCGGTCCAGGATTGCCCGCTAGGCGTGGCTGCTAGCGGGCGGCCAGTCGAGCGACGGCAACGGCGGGGCACGCTGGCGCAGGAGCCTGAGCGCCGCGTTCCTCGCGAACGGTTCCCCTCTGAAAGCTGGCTTCCTGTGCTCGGACAACATGTGCAACGTGTCACCCGGCTCCGAAAACACCGCGCAGCTGCCCACTCGGAAACCTGCAAGATACATGCGCTTGTCGGACGGGGGCGAGACCTGCTGCATGTTGGTCAGAGGGGTCTGCTGCTTCCGCAGACGATTTCGTCGGTTGTTGTCGGTTTTTTGCTGTGCTCTCTTTTTTTTTCTCTCTCTCTCTCTCTCTCTCTCTCTCTCTCTCTCTCTCTCTCTCTCTCTCTTTTTCTTTTTTTTCCCCCTACGGCAACCAGGCTGGGGAGAAGGAGGAATCCGCTGCCCCTCTGGGGGGCTGCTGTGCTCTCTCTCTCTCTCTCTCTCTCTCTCTCTCTCTCTCTCTCTCTCTCTCTCTCTCTCTCTCTCCTCTCTCTCTGATCTCCGCTCGGAACGCGGCCCCCGCTTCGTTGCGCGGCGCGCTGGAGAGAGCAGAGAACACCTCCCGGCGAGAGCAGCGCGACCAAGCGAACCTCGCGCTATGCACATTGAGATGCTCACGAGCCAGAGCGCGCGAGCGAGATGACCGAAGAGCAAAAAGGGTAGTCCAGGTTTCGTAATAAAGGGAGGGGGTCTCAACCCTCCCAGACGAGAAGTTTTAGACTCCCCCCCGTGGGAGAACCCTCCAAAACATCGTCCCCAGACCCCCCCAGGCCCTCCAAGATAGCCTGGAAGAGACCCCCCCCCGAAATGAGACCCCCCCATCCCTTTATTACGAAATCTGGAGTAGTCCTTCTGAGAAACGGAACGCGCGCAGCTGCGCACGGTGAGAAACTTTGCCGCGGCGCCGTTGGGTCACCTCGCGATGATGCGATTTCTAGGAATGGGAGCAGCCTCACACATTAGCATCTTCACATACTCGCGGATCCTGGGAATACTACTGTCCTCCGTCAGTGGTGCGGCCTCCCATGCAACAGACAAATACTCCGTGTACTCCTTGGACTTGAAATCTCGCTGGGAATCGGCCTCTGCGAAGCTGGCACCTTACCTCGCACCTGCAGGCACACGCAGACAGGCGAGTGGTCCGAGAGTTTTCTGTCATGGAAACTTGGCCTCCCGCGCATCGCGCCATTCACGAGCAGGACGAGGTGGATGATCAGGAGGAGCCCCAACAAGGTCAGGAACGAACGCATGGGTAGGGTTATGACTGACATTGAAATCGCCAGTCTCACCCTGAATTTTCTGAGAGACGAGACGCCTCTCCTGCACGTTGAGATCATGATTAAAAACGTTAAAGTGGGATGACTACCCACCAGCCACCATCAGGGGACAGAATCTTGGCATGGAGAACTCGCCCAGGAACCAGAACATCAGAGGACACGATGGGGAAGGGAGATCAAAAAATCTGTTGTCGAACCTCCGACCTCTGATAATGTGGAAAACCGGGGCGAGACCACCAGTACGACTGACCGCAGGTGCACCAAAATCAGAGCCGGTAGCAGGGGAGGTAAAATAGGAGCGGATTTGCGACGCATGGGCGCAGTCCCGTTCCATGTGGCAAGACGGATCGGCACAGTGGAGCGCTTCTACCCGCTCCAAAGCATATGCAGAGTGCTAACCACACCACTCAGCGTCGTCGCCGCCTCCGGCGAGGGCGTTCGTGACAGCAATGCGCAGGGTCTCAGGAGCGAAACCGAGGTCCGTGATGTTCCGCATCTTGCACCGCAGCGACGGCACGTCTGCAAGAGTCGGGGTGGTCTCCAGCAGCTCCTGCCACTGGTACGACAGGACTCCCTTCTCTCAGGAGCGGCCAAGAGGGGGGTGTCCAAGAGGGGGGGGTGCAAATCATGACCGGCGGCACGTGCGCGGCCCAGCGGGGGGGCCGGGAACGTGATAAAATAAGAAGAGGCGCCATGAATTCTGGGGAAATATCATGGCCCACGCCATGATATCCACCCCCCCTAGTCATCCCCCCCCTCTGTTCCGCCCCCGATTCTCGCAGCCGATGAAGTTCTTGCGGTCAGGGTACTGCGCATTGAACAGTGCTTCGGTTCTCTTGCGTGCGGCCTCACGCTCGACCATGCACGGCGACCTGTCGGGCCCAGCTTTCACTTCCGCACGCGAGCGGCCCAGCGCCTCGCCATGCAGCTTCTGTCCATGCTCCACAGGGAGCCTCGGATCTGAGCAGCGCCAGGGTCTGGTTGACGAGCCTGCTCGCGTAGTTCGCCGCGCCCTTGAATTTGAGCAAGAACCTCTTGCACGACGGGTCCCCTTGTATCTCCCACTGCTGCTCGCCCACGTTGCACTGTGTGGTCCACTGTCGGGAAAGCGCTTGGACGGCACCACGAGACACCAGGACATTTGCTCGCAGCACGAAGATGGTCGGCTCGACGGAGCGATAAGTCTTGAGCATCTTGATATCCGCGACAGTCTGATCAGATTCGAATGGTTCCGAACTTGGGCTTCGATAGGGGCGATACGCTTCTCCACCTGCCTGCCCAGACCTGTGAAAGACTCTCCCGCCTTCTCTGCGGCCTCAGCCGACAAGGAGTTGCTGACAGCCGCCTGCACAGCTTGCAGCTGGGGGTCAAACGACGCTCGCATGGTGCCGATGTACCGTCTGAGGTCGTCGTCTCCTCCGATCCTCCCAAGACTCGTCATCCTCGTATCCGTCAGCAGCGCCACGGCCAGCACCATGACCATCAGCAGCAGCCTGACGCCTGCGGCCTTCTGCCCGCGCGGGCGTGGGGCAGTCCACCAGCTCCTGGGACGGCAGGGTGGGGCATGCCTCGAGCGCAGCAGGCAACTCTTGCTGTCCGCCTTTGCCAGCCCTTCCTCGCGACTATTACTCTGGTTGACGCACCCAGAGGAACGGATCGGTGACGAGACGTGGACCCACGGCGCCTGAGGGCTCTCCGTGGGGATCGTGAGCGAGAATGCGTGCTCTGCACGACCTCGGGGGATGTTCACGGATGGGCCAGAGCTAATCGCTGGTTCTCGGGTCGCCGACCCTTCACAACGCTTAGCCTTGAGCCAAAATGGCTACGGACATCATGACCCTCGTCCTCCATCTCCTCCTCCTCCTCA